GTGTTTTAAGAGAGTTTTGAGAAAATGAAGAAGAAATAGGGTCTTTATCCAAAAACCCGATGGATGCATCGATGCACATTCAAGGGGATGTATCGATGCACTATTCAGTGTATTGATGCATTATGCACAAAAATGTCAAAAATCGTTTTAAACACTCAACATGCTAAATTAATTAGCTCTAATGGTATTGCCAACTCATATATTGAAAATTAATCATGTTCAATCAATCAATTTAATTCTTAAACTACATTTGAACATAAAATTATTTTTACCAAAGAACATAAACTCCCTCTAACTAATAGCAAAGAATGCAATTAAAAATTATTATTATAAGCTTTTTTCATTTATTTTTAAAAGTGCTAAAATTATTTTAAACACTAAGTGAAGATAGGTCAGTTAAACCTAATTCTCTTCTAAGTGTCCAAAATCTTTCTTTGTCTAAAGATTTTGTAAAGATGTCCGCTAATTGATGCAAAGTATCAACAAATTCTAGAACTACATCTTCCTTAGCGACATGGTCTCTAATAAAGTGATGTCTAATTTCAATATGCTTAGTTCTAGAGTGTTGGATGGGATTTTTAGTGAGACAAATAGCACTAGTATTATCACACTTGATAGGAATGGTACCTACTTCAATTCCATAATCAAAAAGTTGTTGTTTCATCCATAAAACTTGTGCACAACAACTACCAGCTGAAATGTATTCTGCTTCAGTGGTAGATAATGCAACACAATTTTGTTTCTTTGAAAACCAAAAAATCAGCATATTTCCAAGGAATTGACAAGTAACAGAGATACTTTTCCTATCTAATTTGCATCCTCCATAATCCGCATCAGAGAAGGCATGCAAGCTAAACCTAGAGTCTCTAGGATACAAAAGCCCTAAACTAGGAGTGTCCTTAAGGTATCTAAAGATTCTCTTAACAGCTAGTAAATGTGATTCCTTAGGACATGATTGAAATCTAGCACATAAGCAAACACTAAACATAATGTCCGGTCTACTTGCAGTTAGATAAAGCAAAGATCCAATCATTGACCTATATAATTTAACATCCACACATTTACCTCCTTCATCTATGAACTCATTGGAGTGTCATGAGGTTTCCCATTTTCCAGTCCAAACTTCTTGAGCATATATTTGACGTACTTAGCTTGATTGATAAAGATGCTATCTTTTCTTTGCTTGATTTGGAGTCCCAAGAAAAATGAGAGCTCCCACATTATGCTCATCTCGAATTCACTTTGCATTAGCTTAGAAAATTCTTGGCAAAAAACATCATTAGTAGAACCAAAAATTATATCATCAACATAAATTTGAACTACTAATAAATATTTACCTTTATGCTTTAAAAACAATGTACTGTCAACCTTCCCTTTTGAAAAATCTTTTTCGATTAAAAATTTGACAATCTTTCATACCAAGCTCTAGGAGCTTTTTTTAAACCATAAAGCGCTTTTGTCAATTTAAGAACATGATTTGGAAATTTTGAATCTTCAAAATCAGGAGGTTGTTCCACATACACTTCTTTTATAAAACCATTTAAAAATGCACTTTTAACATCCATTTGATATAATTTAAATTCATGAAAACATGCAAATGCTAATAACATTCTAATTGCTTCCATAGTAGCTACGGGAGCGTATGTTTCATCATAGTCTATGCCCTCTTCTTGAGTATACCCTTGAGCAACAAGTCTAGCCTTTTTCTCACTATATTACCACTTTCATTAAGCTTATTCCTAAATACCCATCTAGTACCTACAATAGATTTATTACTAGGCCTTTCAACTAATGTACATACTTTACTTCTCTCAAATTGATTTAACTCTTCTTGTATAGCCATAATCCAATGTTCATCTTTTAATTCTTCTTTAATATTCTAAGGCTCTATGCATGAAATAAATGCAACATAATTAAAAATATTTCTAAGAGAAGATCGAGTAGTTACTCATTTTGATGGATAACCTATAATTTCACCATCCTTGACATAGTTGTACTCTCTTGGATAAGATAATTCCCTTTCTTCAATGGTTGGATTCTTGAGAGGATCATGAGTTTCCTCATCTTTTGTTTCTTCTTTTGATGATAATTCTCCAACGCCATGTCTAACGTCATTTGCTTGTATAATACCTACATCATCATCAACACAAGAATCCTTCCTCAGAAGGGGATTATCATTGAAAACAACATGTATAGACTCTTCTACAACTAAAGTTCTTTTATTAAATACTCGATAAGCATTAGAATTTAAGGAATACCCAGAAAAATTTCTTCATCACTTTTAGCATCAAATTTGCCAAGGTTTTCTTTACCGTTGTTTAAAATAAAACATTTTCATCCAAAAGGATGAAAATAGCTAATGTTAGGCATTTTATTTTTGAAAATTTCATATGGATTTTTCTTTAAAATTGGCCTAATCATTACTCGATTTACAACATAACAATCGGTATTTGTGGTTTCTGCCCAAAAATATTTTGGCAAATTATTTTCACAAAGCATGGTTATAGCCATTTCCTCTAAAGTTTGATTTTTCCTCTCAACAACTCCATTTTGTTGAGGGGTTCTAGGTGCTGAAATATTATGGCTAATACCATTAGAATTACAAAACTCAGTAAATCCAAGATTTTCAAATTCAGTTCCATGATCACTCCTAACACTAGTGATAGAGTAACCTTTTTCGTTTTGGATTAATTTTGAAAATATGATGAAATGTTCTAATGCTTCATCTTTAGTACTTAAAAATAGAACCCAAGTATATCTAGAATAATCATCTACCAAGACAAATGCATATTGTTTTCCACCCAACTAGTAGTTCTAGTTGGCCCAAAAAGATCTATATGGATCAATTTTAGTACTCTACTAGTTGATACGTCATTAATGGATTTAAAAGAAACTCGCTTTTGTTTTCCTTTAGCACAAGCATCACATATTTTATCATTATCAAATTTTAGTTTAGGCAACCCTCTTACTAAATCTCCTTGAATTAACCGTTGCAAAACACTCATACTAGCATGTCCTAGTCTCCTATGCCATAACCAACTATCATGTTCATCCTTAGCAACTAGGCATATATTAGTCATAACAATAGAGTCTAAATACACCATGTATATGTTTCCTATTCTATGACTAACAAGCATAATCGATTAGATGCAATGTCAATGACTTTACAACCATTAATATCAAACATGAATTGAATCCCTTATCACACAATTGGCTAATACTCAATAGATTATGCTTTAATCCATTCACATATAAAATATTCTTAATTTGTATGGAAGAGGTATTACCTATAGTACCTATACCTTCAAGGTGACCTTTTGAATCATCACCAAAAGTAACTTCTCCTCCATTTTTAGCGTTAAGCTCAATGAACCGGCTTTTGTCTCCAGTCATGTGTCTCGAGCATCCACTATCAAGGTACCATGAATTTGGATTTGTTTCTCATGCCTTGTAGCAATGCTCCTTTTCCTACAAACATAGATTAATTTCTAATTTTTGGTACATAAATTCTTTTGGGTCCATATTCATTAATTTCTAAAATCCTAGTCCCCTTAGGTATCCATTTGTGTAGGATATCCTTATCTTTAGTAGTAATGAGTTCTTTAGGAACCCATATACTTCTAACAATTTTTCCATTTAAGGTTCGTTGAGGACCTCTATGATTGTAGTTTCTAAAACTTTTTCTAACAAAGTTGGGTTTTGAATTTTCTCCTTTTTCAAAACTTTTTGACCTAACTTTATCAAAAGAAGCTTTAAAATCATCAATTTTCTTTTGATGATCATCATTGACCTTTGAAAGTAAATTATGCAAATTAGAATTTTTCTTTTCAAACTCTTCTAGTTTGATTTGCAAATTTTTTATTTTACTTTCAAGATCATTGCTGGTCTTGGATATGAGATTATTTTCATTTTTCAATTTTGAAATATCATTTTTATATTTTAAAAACAATTTCTCATAATCCGAAGCCAACCCAATATATTCCTCTAATAACTCATCATAAGATAAATCATCTAAATCAAATGAGTTATAGGTTACCTTAGAATCTTCCCCGAATGCCATCAAGCACAAGTTTGCTACTTCTTGTTCCTCTTCATTAGAACCTTCTTCATCGCTCCATTTCTTTGATTTACCCTTTCTTTCAATTGTAGGAAATCATATTTGACATGCCCCGGCTTTTTGCATTGATAGCAATGATCGGGTCCTTCTCTTTTTTGTTCATTTTTGAAGCCTTCATTTCATTTGAATTTTCTTCCTCGGTAAGGTCTCATCATTTTTCTGAACCGTTTGGCAAACAATGTCATTTCCTCGACGTCGTTATCTTCATCCGAATCACTCTCATCTTTTGTGGATTTGAGAGCAACTCCAATGTTTTTCTTCTTCTCTTTCTCCTTTGGTGTCTTGTCAATCTTATCGAGGTCCACCTCATCTTCAAGAATCATTTCATGAGTGAGGAGAGAATCGACTAGTTCTTCAAGAGTTAAGGACTTTAGGTTCTTAGCCTAGGTGATTGTCGTCTTCTTTGATTGCCACAATTTTGGAAGTGAGTAAACTAACTTCCTTACAAACTTTTCGTTTGAAATGATCTCTACATATGATTTGAGACTATTGACAATTGTTGAAAATCTATCCGTCATACCTTTGATATCTTCATTTGGTTTCATCCTGAAATTTTTATAGTTATGTGTTAGAAGACTAATTTTAGATTCTTTTACCTCGTCGGTGCCTTCATGAGTGACTTGTAGTTTATCCCATATTTCTTTGGCGGTTGTACAAGATGAAACTCTTCCATATTCATCTGGTCTAAGAGCATAAAATATGATATGTATGGCTTTGGAGTTGAGCTGGAATATTCTTGTCTCTCCTTCACTCCACAATCTTGGATGAGTAAGAGGCTTGATATATCCGTCTTCTACAATATTCCATGCTCTCATGTCACTTGCTTGAATAAAATACATCATCCTATTCTTCCAATATGCATAGTTAACTCCATTGAAGAAAGAAGGCTTGTTGACGGGCATCGAATCGAGACTGGAGTCGATATTTGAAGTAGAGGCCATTGATGACTTGATAATCGATGTAACTCTTCTCAAATCGACTAAAGAGGTGATTAAACCTTTAAATGAGTGAGGATCTGATACCAATTGTTGAGTTAATCGATCGATGGAATATCGGCCAAGAGGGAGTGAATTGTCAATTAAAATTTCGGTGGAAGCTTTTATAGAAAATTAAAAGTAATTGCACAACGATTTAGAGTGGTTTGAATTTCTTAACCAAAGTCTACGTCCACTACCTTAGCTATCCACACTAAGGATTTTTCAATAAATTCACTAATTTATTATTTCTTTTGAGGCCAAAGAGATAACCTTACAACTCCCTCAAGAATATACCCCCAATTCTTGAGAACACTCTTTCTCAAAGAGAAGATTACAAATTCGCAAACTTAATGAAAAACCTCACAAGGCAAATATGTTTGTACAATTCTAGAACAAAGAAAAGAACACTAAAAAATGAATACAATTGAGTACAAGTTGTGTTCTTGAAAGTAAAATGAATATTGAATGAAAAATAGGCTTGAAATGCTCAAACTTGAGGTTTGATGCTTTCTCTTTGATTCTCTCTTGATTCTTGTTGATTGTTATTTCTTGTTGTTGATCAATGGCTTCTAAGCTTGTTTAAATACTCCTTCAATTGATTCTGAACGTTTTGGATGATTAGTGGAGTCAATAGAGCCGTTTAAGTGTGAAAACAATTAATAAAATAGTTGGGAGCGTCTGGTGCATCAATGCATAAGGCTAGTGCATCGGTACACTATGTGTCAAATTCAAATATTTCGACCGTTGGACCCTTAGTGCATCGATGCACTAAGAGTGCATCGATGCATGAAGTGCATTCGATGTTTCAAATAAGCCCGAGTGCATCGATGCATGGTCTGTGCATCGATGCATAAAATGCATTCGATGTTTTCATAAAACCTGAGTGCATCGATGCATGGTATGTGCATCGATGCATAAAATGCATTCGATGTTTAATTTATTCAATGGTGCATCGGTGCATGGATTGGTGCATCAGTACACTCTTTTGAAAAATTGATTTTAGGCTTGTTTTTGGTTCGAAATACTTTGTGAAAATTATTTCAAAAAATATTTTAAGATTAAAACACAATTTTACACTTTAGTAAGGATTGACATTGATCTTTGAAAGACTTGGAGTAATATTTGATATTCGAGTAATTAAATCGAATATACTAAGAAAATCATTTGTAAAATTGTAAAATTCATTTATACTTAATTTGTCATATCGAAACATCAAAATATTTTCAACAGTTAAGATATGAGTTTTTATTGATGTTTACTAGTATATTTGACTTGTCAAATAAGTAAATAAGAGATTAGAAACATTGGATGGGTTTAAAAACATGTTAGAAAAAGTGGATTGATTATTAGATTAAAATATTCTTTGGAGATTGTAGATGTTAAAGTAGTTAAATGGAGGAAAGTTAGTCGAGATAAGCAAAGAAGAGTTTGATAGTATTGTTGGAGGTAAAAATAATGGAAATTGGCAAAATATGGGTAAAAAATCGGGCTAAAATGGAAAATTTGGGTAAGGGCATCGGTACTGGAAGAACAGTACTGATACTATAGGCTTAAATTTGGAAGAAATCAGATGAACAATATTGATACTGATGCAATTAGTATCAATATTGATGGGGTATCGATACTATGAGAAAGGTATCAATACCATTGATTCCAGAATGCATAAATGGTATCGATATTGTAATGGAATATCGGTACCGTAGTATAGAAATATCAGTACTAGGATAAAGGTATCGATACCATGGATTCCAGAATGCCGAAATGGTATCGATATTGAAAGGGAGTATCGGTACCATAGTATAGAAGTATTAATATCATGGTATGGGTACCGATACAATTAAGCCAAGAATTATAAGATAGGTTGAAATTGTTATAGAAATTTAAAAAATAATACTTTTGAGTATTATTAAAATATAAATGTTAGATAATAAACTAACATTTGTATGAAATGTGTACTAAATGGGTGCTTGTGTAGATCATGACCAAGCTTCCGAGTCAAGCAAGAAAAAGAGCAAGGATAAAGTTGTCGAGTAGTAGGACATCACTACAACAGAGTAAGGAAGCATATCAGGTGAGTGTATATATTGTAATTATATGGGTTGAGGGAGACTCACAATAAGTCCACCCCAAATGTTTAAATTAATGTATGTTTTTCCTTATATGATATATGTTAATAATGTGTGTGGAATTGATATTATGAATAATTTTTATGGTAAGGACTATTTTTTTAAAATAAAAGATTAATTGCCTAGCTATGCATTTGGCAGAAAAGTGCCAATATTGCAAGTTAGATAAAAGGCTAAATGTCTTTAAGTAAAAGATTAATTGCCTAGTCGTGCATTTGGCAGGAAAGTGCCAATATTGCAAGTTAGATGAAAGGCTAAAAGCCTTTGAGTAAAAGATTAATTCCCTAGTTGTGCATTTGGCAGAAAAGTGCCAATATTGCAAGTTAGATGAAAGGCTAAATGCCTTTGAGTAAAAGATTAATTTCCTAGTTGTGATTGGCAGAAAGGTGCCAATATTACAAGTTAGATGAAAGGCTAAATGCCTTTGAGTAAAAGATTAATTGCCTAGTTGTGCATTTAGAAGAAAGGTGTCAATATTGCAAGTTAGATGAAAGGTTAAATGACCGTGAGTAAAAGATTAAATGCTTAACAGAGTATTTTGACATAAATGGTGTCATTTATTGATTTAATTTAAAAGATCATAAAGAAGGTTCACGAAGTAGACAATTATTATGGTTTTTATAGTTAGAAATCTTATGAATAAAATTATAGTTTCTTTACAAGATTATACATCACTAAGTAAATACTTAATGTGTGTTGATTTCACGCATAGGTAAAAATCAAAGATTTGCATAGTAAGGAGTGCAGTAACAACAATCATCATCAATTAAAGGTTGACTCGTCAGTAACATTGGGACAATCATACTCATTTTGAAACTTAGCTAGCATGTAATTGAACTTAAGAAAATATTTTGTAATTTATTTAAAGTGATAGTTTTAGTAATATGTTTCAATGAATATTTAATCATTGTGTTAAATTATGTGGTTTTAAAATTTGAAACAAAATTATACAGGTTTTCATTTGAGTAAATGTTTTAAAAGTGATGTGACATTTGTATCTCGTGTACGGAAAGGTACACAGGAGATGGGTGTTACAAAAGTAAATATTAAAGTAAAAAAAGAGTATCGATACTTTCAGCAACATAATCCATTTTATTATCGATATTTTCCAAGTGTATCCAAACTTACCCTAGAGTATCGATACTATAGCTAGAGTATCGATACTACACACTCAAAATGTTCATATTCGAACCAATTAAAGTTTGTAAGAGCTTGGGGTGGTTTGTAAGAATAAGACTTAGTCCGTGGGGGACGTAAATGGCTAAAGGGGCCCAGAGACACTTGTGAAAGTAGGTTACAGCCAGAGTAACCACAGTAACAATAACACATCCAAGCATCTTTAGTGATCATGTATCAGATAGATATGGTTGTAGGACCAGTGCGCAGGCTGTACCGACGAGAGGTACGAATAGGTAATCAGACTGTGAGACAATAGTATCGTATATCGCAAAAGTGACCGAGAATGTTGGACGTTCAAATATTCTTTAATTCGAGGGTGAATTAAGGAGAAACATAGGATTATCGATTAGAGCATCACTACCCAGAAATGAACCCGAGTCAGATATCGAGCCAATTAGAACCCTAGCCAATAAGTAGTAAAAGCAGCAATTGTCTTAAAGTCTCGAATCGCGTAGAGACTTCCCTAGAGTCATATAATCACTAAATATCCTCTTTTAGTGGATGTTAGTCACTATATATAATCAGTTAGGAATGTTATAAACCTAGCCTTTGTGTGACACTCGGGAAACAACCAGGACACCCAAGTTACTCTAGTAATAGGGCGAGAGTCTTGTTTGCCAGTCAGTGGATCCACGTCAGTGCTACGGTACTTCATTGTCGACTGGGTGCCAGATGCCCCAAGGCTCAACGGAGTAAGTTGGCGGGTGTACATTTTCAATACAAAATTTTCGGATCTCACCCAGGAGTACCCGATGGTGCTTCGATAGTGCTTGAGGGGTACGTGAGCTTCGAGATATAGAATCCCTCAGCCGCACCATGATACCAGCCACATACTACTATTTTTTTGTGTTATATCATATGTTAGTATATGTATAGTATAACTAGTAATGCATTCAAATAATGCATACCAGAGTTAATCTTACATTCAAATAATGCATACCAGAGTTAGTCCTGCATTCAGAAATGCCCAGTAGTTTAAGTATCGTATTTAGGTAATGCACAGCAGAATAAGCATAGCTTTCAGATAATGTATAACAAATACAATCATTATGGTTAGAAACCCATACTTCAGAAAAAGAACAGCTAAGCCTTAAGTAGATAGCACTTGACTAGATCATGCATGTACCTACTACTTAATAACATATCCTCAACATGCTTGGGTTTATTAATTCTTATGCTGCTCTATATTAGCGATTATATTATTAGTCTATGTAAGCTCAGCCTTCGGATGTTTTTCGTTGGCATGTTAGTAGCATGAGCAGTTCGAGGAGCACCGTCTTAGTAGGACTTCCAATATCTCCTTTAGAGTATCGTATCATAGATTAGTGGGCATATGTATTCATATTTTCTTACTTATGTATTTAGTTCATTTAACTAAGAGTTTTATTATTTGATTTTAAATTATGTCACTGAGCTACGATTTGTAAAATGATTTTATACAATATTTTTGTTTTATATATGATACTATTCAGTATGTTTTAAGAAACTAAATGAATAGATTTTGAGAATCATGGGTTGCCTTGGTAGCCCAATGTGGCTCTTTAAGCCCATTTAGGTTTAGGGTTTTTATATTTAATGATATCAACGCGTTAGGTTGAGTCAATCTTAGGATCTAGTGGTCAGTATTAGTAAGGTGTAAGTGAATACATACCCCTAGGTACTGAAAGTACTTGTGTAAGTCTGGAATCCTGATGGTGTTTCTTTCCTTAGCCTAAGTTTCATAATTTGCGATAGCATACAGAGTTGAACGTAATTCATGGAATCAGATAGAGAGGTGAACCTCTCACCCCAGAACAGTTAGTAAAAGAATTCTACCAAGCCAGCTAGTTTGATATCCCGTCAGGAATGGGCATAGTAGAGGCAACCTTCTTTAGAGGTTTAACTTTCACTCTCAGAGAGGTAGTGGACATTACTCCTAGAGCACAGACAGTTCAGTTAACCACCTACGGTGCGTTAGTGCCAGAAGAATCCCCAATAGAGAGGATAAGGAAATATCAGACATTTAACTTCTTTGGTTCAGGCGATAAGGATTTGAGATTAGTCGATCAACGATTGTGAGAGACCATTGGACTTCAAGGCAGTTTTGCCTTACTAGAGGGTAAGTTAGAGTGCATCACCATTTTTCTCGAGGTGATACTATTTATCAATGGGTTACTGTAGGAATGTCTCTACAACCAAAGGTACCATGCGGAATCAGTTCCCGGGTGAGTTTAGAATAAGTATAGCAATGAGACGCCTATGGATGATTAGAGAGTGGAGTTCTCTCAACTAGTCTAAGGAGATCATTTAGTGTTCATATTTAAGAGATTACCTTCTTAGGTTGAGTTGTTGTGCTCTAGAGTTGGTTGTGGCCAAGTCTTTGAAGTTCAAAAAATCTCTCGAGGGAATTCATTTGGATATCGGTATTCAGTTAACGGTAGAGCCACTTAGAGTGCTTCAGAGCAGAGATTTGCATTTCAGTATGTCTATCTCAGTTAGTAATAGGAAGGACTAGAGTTTGGCATGAGCAGAGAAGAGTGATGTCAACTCTGTCACTCTAGCCGAGTCAGAGGTCAGTTGTAGAGTCTCGTGGGAAGTCGTTAGCTCCATTATCAGTGCTGAGCTTTAGAGGCTCCAGTAGAGTCTTGGATTATCTAGAGTGTGACCACTGACATAAGAATCAATGATGAATATGCTTTAACGTTTCAAGGAAGTGTTATGGATGTAGATCCTTAACGCATATGGTGAAGGTTACCCTAGTTCTAGTAATAATGTCTCAGCTCGATCGAGGAAAGCGATCTCAGTAGTTTAGCTTGATTAGAAACCTTCTCTGGTAGGTGTCAGTTGTGTTCAGACAAGAGAGTAGTGAAGCATATCGACCAATTTTTAATTCAGCTTAACATATCAAAGAGATACAGAGACAAGGTGTTAATGGTGTAAATGAGATGTTAGATAAGGAATCAAAGGATATGGATCCAAGTGGCTAGAAAGTAGAGCTTAGTGGATTAGATAATATTACCTTAGCAAGTCATTGAGGGCTTAGAACCAGACTCGATCATCGACCTAAAGACAATTATTGGCTTGGAGTATTTTCCAATGTAGTAGTTCCGGAATTTTACCCCCAGATTGTAAGTGTACTAGAGGTGTCATAGTGAGATTGAGAGTCGAGGTGTTGTAAACCCTAAATATCACAGGATGTCTTATTACTTAAGTAGTGATCATCTAGGTGATTCGAGCCTCCTCAGTGGTGCATTCGTGTTGGTATATGAGCACGATCTATATCCAACACATAGCAGTAATTAGCATTGCGTAGTACCGAGAATTTTAATATTTTATATAAAATAAATTTAAGTTTGTTAAGTGTCGGACGACCAACGACAGTCTTCATCGAATAGCTCAGTAATGGTAGAAATATTGAATGACATACAGAATATCAAAAACCTTAACCAGAGTGTGGTTGCGACAGATCTTTGTCTTGTGAGGCGTGTTCTCCATGAGAGTCAGATGTTGTTAGATTCGCTTGGTAAGGGGTCGATTACAGATTCGCTCGGTAATCAGGTAGCATGGTTGTTTATTAAATCATAGTGAAACAGTAGAAGCATAAAGATCGACGTTAGTCATGAATTTTTAGCATGTCTTCAACAGTGGTATCGAGACAGTGTAGTAAGTGCTATAAGATCTTCAGGTTGGTACGACGAATTACCAATGTTTAATGGGTAAAAGGTTTATCGGGTTATGCAGTGAATTAACTCAATTGAGTAAGGTTAGCCAGAGATGGATTCAATGATAGAATTGATTTTGGAGTAAAGTTATCCAAAGAAAAATACTTTGAGCATGCAGTATCAGTCTATCAGATAGCCAGAACGTAATTCACTTAGTTTATTGATCTTCCAAAGTTTTCACTTAAAGTTCAGTGTGGATCGCGCCCTAAGAAAATCGTAGACAAATTTTGCGAGTCCCAAACAGTATGTCATATTAGGAGGACTTCTTCCTTGGGAATCAGTTTCTATAAGGTTAAGCGCTTCTAGATTTCTCAGTTTTGACATAGGAGAGGTCGTTCGAATCAAGTAAATTTCGAGGACGAAATTTTTTTTAAGGATGGGAGAGTTGTAACAGCCCAAATTCCAAGTTAGTAGTTTTGGGTCTACCTGAGAGGTAAGTGAACCCTGAAGAATTTATAATTCAAGTTGTTGTGCTTAATTGGACTAGACATGTGCCCAATTAAGCATAAAAAGAAGATTTTGAATTTCTTAAATATGAGGAATAACCTTTAGTGTAATTTCCCTATTTTGGAAAGATTGAGACTTTTTATCTTTTCCATCTCAATTTTCTCTTTATTTTCCTATCTTCTCATTTTCTATTCCTCCATTATCTACAAGTTTCTTAGGAAATGTAAGCTTTCGAGTCCATTTCAAGTTTTATTTTCAATCTTAACCCCTCAAGCAACATGGATTTAACTATTCAAGCCATGGGTTCTTTATTTACAAGAGGAAGTTAAGGGTTTCATCATCCAAGTCTTGGTGGGGGATTATTTCTAGCTAGAGGAGCTCAATTTCAGGAATCAATCATCAAGGTAGTGTATTTCTAATCCTTTGGAGTAATTAGATTCCATAAATTACAAGTTTTTGCTAAGATTTGAGTAATTGAGCATTTTATGGTTCATCTTTGATTTCTCAGTTAATTCACATTTTAGATGTTAAAAATATGTTTTTAAGACACTTAAGACCCTAAATAACTTACTAGAACTTCAAAATCAATTTAGAACTCAAACAAAGTCATTTGAGGTGAATTTTTAAGTGTTTCTCGAGCCTAAAATACTCATTTATGGGCAAGAGTATCGATAATGGGATGAACAATATTGATACTGGGTGAATTGGGGAAAATTTAGGGATTTCAGACCAAGAGTATTGATACTTTAGCTCAGAGTATTGATACTTTCCAAGAGTATTTATACTTTTAGCAACAGAATCCATTTTAGTATCGATACTTTCCAAGAGTACCGAAACTTACCCTAGAGTATCGATATTACTACTAGGTAATCGATTCTACACACTTAAAATGATCAGATTCGAATCGATTAAGGTTTGTAAGAGCTTCAGGTGGTCCGTAAGGATAAGACTTAGTCCGTGAGAGACGTAAATGGCCAAAAGGACAAGAGACACTCGAAGAGTGGGTTACAGCCAGAGAAACCACAATAAGCATAACTCATCCAAGCAACTTTAGTGATCACGTATCAAACATATATAGTTGAAGGACTAGTGCGTAGGTTGTACCGATAATAGGTATGAATAGGTAATCAAACTGTGAGACAATAGTGTCGTATACTGCAAGAGTGACCGAGAATGTTGGACATTCAGATAATCTTTTAATTCAATGAAGCATTAAGGGGAAGCGTAAGATTAGTGATAAGAGCATCGCTACCTAGAAATGAAATCGAGTCAGATACCGGGCCAATCAAAACCCTATCCAGTAAGCAGTAAAAGTAGTAATCGTCTTTAATTCTCGAATTACGTAGAGACTTCACTAGAGTTAGATAATGACTAAAACAACCTATATTAGTATATAACCAGATTAGTATAGATAATCAGTAATAACTCAATAATAGAAATAGAACCAGTAATAGTAACAACTAAAATAGTAACAGTTAGGGATGTCATAAAATTAGCCTTTATGTGACACTCGAAAAACAGTCAGGACACCCAAGTTACTCTAGTAATAGGATGATTGTCTTGTTTTCCAATCAGTGGATCCAAGTCAGTGCTACAACACTTCATTACGACTGGGTTCCAGATGCCCCAAGGCTCGACAGAGTAAGTCGATGGGTTTATGTTTTTGATGCAAAATTCTAGATCTCACCCAAGAGTACCCGATGGTGCTTCAACAATGCTAGATGGGTGCGTGAGCTCCGAGATGCAGAATCCCTCAGCCGCACCATGATGCTAGCCACATATTATTTTTGTTGTGTTGTATCATATATTAGTATATGCATAGTAGAACTAGTGATACATTCAGATAATGCATACCAGAGTTAGTCTTGTATTCAAACAATGTCAGTAGTTTCGGTATCGCTTTCAGGTAATGCACAGCAGAATAAGCATCGCTTTCAGATAATGTATAACAAATATAGACATTCGGGTTAGAAACCCATACTTCAGAAACAGAACAACTGAGCCTTAAATAGGTAGCACTTTACTAGACCATGCATGTACCTACTACTTAATACCATATCCTCAGCATGCTATGGTTTATGAATTCTTATGTTGCTCTATATTAGCGATTATATTGTTGTGCTTTGTAATCTTAACCTTTGAATATTTTCCATTAGCAGGTTAGTAGCATGGGCAGTTCATGGAGAACTGTCGCAGTAGGACTTCCAGTATCTACTTCAGAGTACTGTATCATAGCTTAGTGGACATATGTATTCATAGTTCCTTACTTATATTTAGTTTATTTAACTCAAAGTATTATTATTTGATTTAAAATTATGTCACAAACCTTTGGTTTGTAAAATGATTTTATACAATATTTGTTTTATTTATGATATCATTCAGTATGTTTTAAGAAAATAAAAGAATATATTTTGAGAATTAAGGGTTACCTCAGTAGCCTAATGTGGTAATTTAGGCCCATTTGGGTTTAGGGTGTTACATTTAGTGGTATCAGAGCGTTAAGTTGAGTCGATCCTAGGACCCAGTAGTCAGTATTAGTAAGGTGTCAGTGAATACATGTCCCTAGGTATTCAAAGTACTTGTGTAAGTCTAGAATCCTGATGGTGTTTCCTTCCTTAGCTTAAGTTTCAGAATTTACGATAGCAGATAGAGTTGAACATAATTCAGGGAATCAAATAGAGAGGCAATTCTCTCACCCCAGTAAAGTCAATAAAGGAATTTTGCCAAGGCAACAATTTTGGTGTCCCGTCAGGAACGAGCGTCGTAGAGGCGACCTTCTTTAGAGGTTAAACTTCCATTCTTATAGAGGTAGTGGACGTTACTCATAGATCACAGATAGTTCAGTTAACTACCTAGGGTGAGTTGGTGCCAGCAGAATCCCCAGTAGAGAGGATAAAGAAATATCAGACAGTCAACTTCTTTGGTTCGGCGATAAGGATTTGAGATCAGTCGATCAACGATTGTGAGAAAACATTAGACTTCTAGGCAGTTTTGCCTAACCCCCGGAGGGTAAGTTAGTGTGTGTCACATTGTGCTCAAGGTGATACTATCTATCAGTGGGAGATTGTAGGAATGGCCTTACAAGCAAAGGTACCTCGCTGAATCAGTTATCGAGCGAGTTTAGAATAAGTATATTAATGAGGTACCTATGGATGATTAGAGAGTGTAGTTTTGTCAGGTAGTCCAGGGAGATCATTCAGTGTTTGAATTTGAGAGGTAACCTTCTTAGGTTGAGTTGTTATGCTCCAGAGTTGGTTATGACCAAGTCCTTGTAGTTCAAGAAGTCCCTTGAAGGAATTCATTTGGATATCAGTATTCAATTAACGATAGAGTTGCTTAGAGTGCTTCAGAGTATAGCGTGAGGATAAGTTTGTTGGGTGAGTCAAGCACCTGATTGTAAAGACTTGCGTATCAATATCTCTATCTCAGCCATTAGTAGGAATGACCAGAGTTCAGTGTGAGAAGAGAAGAGTGACGCCAACTCGGTTACTCAAGATGAATCAGAGGTCAATTGTAGGGTCTCGTGGGAGATTGTTAGCTCTATCATTAGTGTTGAGCTTTAGAATCTCTGATAGAGTCTTGGATTACCTAGAGTACAAGCACTAACGTAAGAATCAACAATGAATGTGCTTTAAAGTTTCAAGGAAGTGTTGTGGATATAGATCCTTAACGCCTATGTTGAAGGTTGCCCTAGTTCTAGTAACAATATCTCAGCTCGATCGAGGAAAGCAATCTCAGTAGTTTCAGCTTGATTAGGAACCTTCTCTGGAAGGTGTCAGTTGTGTTCAGACATGAGAGTAGTGAAGTGGATCGAGCAGTTTTCGATTCAGCTTGGCAAACCAGAGAGATAAAGAGACAAGGTGTTAATGGTGTAGATGAGATGTTAGATAAGGAATCAAATGGTATATATCCAAGTGGCTAGCAAGTATAACTTATTGGATTAAACAAGGTTACCTTAGAAAGCCGTTGAGGGCTTGGATCCAGACTCGATCGTCGACCTAAAGGTAGTTGTTGGCTCGATGTATTTTCCAATGCAGTAGTTCCGAAATTTTACCCCGGATTCTAAGTGTACTATATATGTCATAATGAGATTGAGTGTTGAGGTATAGCGAACCCTAAGTGTCACTAGGATGTCTTGTTACTTAAGTAGTTAGTGAATCAGTTAGGTGAGTTGAGCCTCATTAGTGGTGTCTTCGTGTTGGTATATGAGCGCAAGCTATATCCAACACATTGTAGTAGTTAGCATAACGTAGCACCAAGAATTTTAGTTCTTTAGATAAAAGGAATTTAAGTTTGTTAAGCACCGAACAACTAGCGATAGTTGTCATTGAATAGCTCAGTAATGGTAGATAATATTGAGTGTCAGACAGAATCTCAGAATCCTTAGTCTGAGTGCAATTGCGATAAATCTCCGTCTTATGAGGCATGCTCTTCGGGAGAGTTGAATGTTGTCAGATTTGCTTGGTAAGAGGTCGATTTCTCGTTTTTAGTGCCTTAGATACTGGATCAGGTGAGTAGGGTGTATGTAAGTTGCAAGGTAATAAGAAACAGTCAGGTAGCATAGTTGTTTATTAGATCATAGTGGAACAACAGAAGCATAGAGATCGATGTTAGTCGAGAATTTTCAGCATGTCTTCAATAGGGGTATTGAGACAGTGTTGGCAAGTGTCGTAGGATCTTCAAGTTATCACGATAATTACCTATGTTTAGCAGGTAAAAGGGTTATCGGGTTATGCAGTGAATTAACTTGATTGAGTAAGGTTAGCCAGATATGGATTCAATGATATCAGTGATTTTAGAGTAACGTTATCCATAAGAAAACGCTTTATGCATTCAATATCAATTTATCAGATAGCCAGAACGTAATTCCCTTAGATTATTGATCTTCCAAAGTTTTCTCTTAAAGTTCAGTGTGGATGACGCTTTAAGAAAATCGTAGACAGATTTTGCAAGTCCCAAACAGCATGTTAGATTGGGAGAACTTCTTCTTTGAGAATTAGTTTCTATAAGGTTAAGCGCTTCCAGATTTCTCAGTGTTGACCTAAGGAGGGGTCGTTCGAATCAAGTCAATTTTGATGACGGAATTTCTTTTAAGGAGGGGTGAGTTGTAACGCCCCAAATTTCAGGCTAGTAGTTTTGGGTCTACCCAAGAGGTAAGTGGACCCTACATAATTTATAATTCAATTTGTTTAGCTTAATTGGATTAGAATTGAGCCCAATTAAGCATAAAAAGGAGATTTGTGAATTTCATAAATATGAGGAATGACCTTAGTGTAATTTTTCCATTTTGGAAAGATAAAGAGTTTTTATCTTTTTCATCTCCATTTTTTCTTTATTTTCATATCTTCTCATTTTCTCTTCATCCTTTCTCTCCAAGTTTCTTAGCAAAGGTAAGCTCTTGAGCCAATTTCAAGTTTTAGT